GCGTGGCGCTAGCCATCTCAAAGCTCGATGGTCGAGCGCGAGAATGGGCACTGACGTGCGGCACTTTGGTAGAAGCTGCGTTTCCGTTCTGGGCGAAGCTGAAACTGTAGCTCTCATGAGTGTTTTCGCTGCCGAATCAGGCATACCGCGTGCAGTCGTGTTTCATTGCCGCCCGACAGGGCAACAAGGTATTGGTGGCCTGTCTAAGAGATGCGCACTTTCTTTGCTGGGATGGCAGCAGATCCCCTTCCGGAGGCGGTCACAGTCTATATAGAAGGCATCCGCACTGGCGTGGCCAGAATGGAAGTCTTCCGTGTCCATCCTTCTTCATTTGAAGAAGCGGTGAACGTGGCATCGAATGCCAAATTTAATTTCAAGTCGGCACGACTTGGTTGGAATGCACACTCCAACAGCTCGTCGAGCGGGTCTGTGCCCATGGATTTCAGCTATGCTGAGGACGAGGGAGCAGAGCTCCAAGCTGCTGGGCAGCACACAAACTGTTTTGTATGTGGAGACACGCGTCACCTTCGGAGCGGTTGCCCCCCTGCGCAAGGCGCTTCAAAGATTCTTAGAATCATCGCCCCAATGCCTACCAGTCTGATTCGTCGCGGAGAAACGACACCACTCAGTAGGCGTGGGGTGACCAACTAGGGAAGAACTGAGTTCTGTTGTGCCTTAGTGAAGCATCGGTAAACAGGGCCCAGCCCCGAAGAGCTCCGGGCTCTTGGAAACGTGTATGCAATCCGGGCTTGCTATCGTGGAGGCGACCGTAAAGGGCTTCGAGAAGCCATTGAAGATCCTCATCGATTCCGTAGCGTCGGGCAATAATGCTCGACGTTCCACGATGAAAGGAAGACAGCTGTATGCTGAGGCGCCGAAAGCGCGGTTGTGTGACATCGTCATTGTTCGCCTAGCGATGAGGACACGTGTCACGGTCCCGAAGGTCCCTGTGGACCTCGGAGTCAAGTTCCTTGGTTTTGATAGCGTGGAACGCTGTCTACGCTTAGACTTGGATGCAAGGCATGCCCTCATGCTAGGAATGGCATGGTTGGAACATCATGAGCCATGGATTGATCACAGGTCAAAGATCTTGGGCACACGCGCAGTCTCCTGGTGGAGCTTTGGCGAGTCATGAACCCACCTCTGCTAGGAGACTAAAGCGCTATTGGCGAGAGCACTGGACCAAGACGGTCAACGTGCTGGACATAAA